TGTTCAAAAGAAGAAGCACAAAAAAACATAAGATTCAGAACAACAGTGAAAGATGCACTGGTCTCAGAACATTTAGTATAAGAGCAATAGACCCTGAAGCCATTATTTGCAGACATAGGACTGTGAAATAAATGACAATATTACTGTTGACCATGACAAATAATAATAAAATATTAATAACTACAATAAGATTATATATTATATAATTACAATAAAATGTATAGTATATAATGATAATAAATATTAATAATAAAAATAATAAAGGTGTGACTATGAATGGAGGATGAGTTATGAATGTCCTGTTATCTCCCATTTAAGAAGGCTACATATTCAACTTTAGTCAACAATTTTTATTTATTTTATTTTCTTTCTAGTCCAGGACAACCTCAAATTCATTACATATGTAAGCATAACCATGAACTTCTGATCTTACCCTTCTCCATGCTAGTACTGTAAATATGTACATGGGGATCAAACTCAAGGATTAATGTAGAATAAGTAATTATCAATTGAACTATAGTGCCAGACCATTTATGCAGATTTTTTTAATTAATTACAGTTTATTCACTTTGTATCCAACCTGTACCTCCCTACCTCTTCCCTTCCCAACTCCACCCTCCCTCCCTCTTCTCTACCCATGCCCCTCCCCTAGTCCACTGATAGGGGAGGTCTTCCTCCCCTTCGTTTTGATTCTAGTCTATCAGGTCTCATCAGGAGTGGCTGCACTGTCTTCCTCTGTGGCCTGGTAAGTCTGCTCCCCACTGAGGGAGAGGTGATCAAAGAGCAGGCCAATCAGTTCATGTCAGAGACAGTCCCTGTTCCCATTACTAGGCAACCCACTTGGATACTGAACTGCCCTGGGCTACATCTGTGCAGGGGTTCTAGATTATCTCCATGCATGGTCCTTGGTTGGAGTATCAGTCTCAGAAAAGACCCCAGTGCCCATACTTTTTGGTTCTGTTACTCTCCTTGTGGAGCTCCTGTCCTCTCCAGGTCTCCTGTCCTATCTCCCATTTCTTTCATAAGATTCTCTGCACTCTGCCAGAAATTTGGCTATCAGCATCTGCTTTGATACCCTGCAGGCTAGAGTCTTTCAGAGGCCCTATGTGGTAGGCTCCTGTCCTGTTCCCTGTTTTCTCCCTCTTCTTATGTCCATCCTCTTTGCCTTTCTGAATTAGGATTAAGCATCTTACCCAGAATCCTCCTTTATGAAGATTTTTTTAATGTGCTAGTAAGTAAACAACAACAAAAAATTAGTTGTAAAGAAAGCTTGCAAAGGGGGAAAATATCCCATACTTCTAAAAAGTAATACGTAGGATATATTATTAAAATTAGAACAGTTTGCTCTTCACACAACTCAACAAATTAGTACATTGGTATTATACTTAAATTTTCTTTAGTGACCCTAGCTTATGTCAAGTTGACATATATACATGAACTTAGTAAGCTCCTGATGTAGGAGCCAGAGATATGGCTCAGCATTTAAGAGTGTGTACCACTCTTACTGAGGCAAATTTAGTTCCCACACTCTTGTAGAGCCATTTACAACTTCCTATACCTCCAGCTGTAGGAGATCTGATGCACTTTTATAGACTCTGCAAGAATCTTCACTCACATGTACATACATACATACATACATACATACATACATACATACATACATACATGCAAAAAAACCCATACACACATTTAAACATAAAATAAAATATTTTCAAAAGCTAGTAATATGTTAGGTATACACACACGTGCACAGATGCACACAGGTAAACACATGCACACACTCCTACCCTCGCCATGCTTCTTTTCACCAAAATAATTCACAGAGCTCAAGGCTCATAGCTTCATAAGTTAAGAGCTTTATGTGACACAGCTATGTGACATGTTTATTTCTGTAGCTATGGAACACTATCACACAGGTGCTAAGTTAGGTTTATATGTATTTTGTTCAGGGAGGTCAGGAGTCTAAGAAGATTTCACTGGGTTGTTTCAGTGTTCATGGAGGTGCATTCTGAATGAATTTAGTTCTAAACTCATTCATGTTGAGGGGCTTTTTCTGCATACGATGTCATGCAATGTCCAATCATATTATCTATCTACAATTCCTTTCTTTCTTTCTGTATTTTTTTCCTGTGTGTATGTGTGCATGTGTGTTTCTACTTGTATGAATATAGACAGAGTTACAGATTAGTATGTACCTTTGCAAATGGAGGGCAGAGATTGAATTTAATGTCTTCCTTGATGGCTCATTATTTCATATATTGAGACAATTGACCTCATTTGGCTGTTAGCTAGTCTAGCTAACCAGCCTGCTCTCAGAATCCCATGTTTCTGTCTCTTGAGTACTGAGATTATAGGCAGGCACAATGCCCAGCCTAGCATTTCCATGAGTGCTATGGTTCTGAACTTGCGTCTTCATGCTTACAGGACAAGGACTTTATTCAGTGAGCCATCTCCATACTTTCTTTAAACTTATTTTGCTTTAACGAGGACATATTGAGTCCTTCTCACACCTTGCATTGCTCTTACCTCCTCTTCTGGTTTCCTTATCCTGGAAAGAAAGAGTCTGTTTTTCTAAGACTAAAGCATTTGACTAAGCCAACTATGATAACTCAGGCTATCCTTCCATCTCAATGTCAAATGTGCCACAGAACTTAGCAAAACTATAAAATTATTTATTCATCACTCATAGGGTCAGGAGCTTATAGGTATGCATCTCAGGAGGACATCATAAAAATTCTGTCAACTACCAACTACAGACAGCTTTGATTTTAACAGCTAAGCTTCTGTAAAGAGATAACCAAGAATATTACTGTGTGTGTGTATGCGTGCATACCAGAATATATACCAATATATAAAATGGTGTAATATTTTAGTATGAAAATGAGTGAGGCAAGAGACAGGAAAGAAATGAGAGATAAGAGACATTCAAGGGTGAAGGTCAGGCTCCTAGTGAAAGGATTTCTGACTGGTCCCTCAAGGTTCCTGAATATAGTATATGAATATGCAATCCTGGTAGGGAATGTCTAGCTTAAAGAGGGAATGTAGAATTTGTGTTTATCTCTTCCCACTAAAAACTCTACTGGAAACTGGGTAAAATGGCAAATTAAAAAATAAAATGATAGGCATATAGAAAAATGATTGCATGTGCCAATGAAAGTTTGAAAAGAAAGCTGAAAAAACAGGTTTGTACAACTGACTTAAGTGGCCAGAGAAAGCTTAAATCCAGATTTCCTGGTGGGAAGATAAAGAATAAAAGGGCAAAAAGTGGGTAGCAACTTTTTTTCTCCCCACATTTCAAATTGTCAGCTACTTAAAAATAAATGGTGATTTTTTCTGGAAATACAAGTTTGCAAGATGGCCTCACTCTGCAATCCCTATATAATAGAAGCCACTATGTGGAAGACTTCATTGGCACCCCCACCAACAAACGACCTCATCCTTAGACTCATCTCTGTTGTCTCATGTCAATTCTTTACTGTGGGAAGGAGAGCATGCTGTTTCTCACTCTGCAGAATTTTTTGTCAGGTATGTTTTACAGGCATTTTTTTTTAAATCTTCAGATGATTTTGTTTTGTTTTGCTTTGCTTTGTTTATTTTTGCTCTGTTTTCTGTTTTGCTTTACATCTGGAAAATATCCCTACAGATACCAGTGAAACAGAGTGATGGAGGATATAGCAACTTCCAACAGAAAAATCAATGCCATTTATTCATGCTTCATGGTATATTATTATTATTATTAGATGAGAGATATCTGAGTCAGAAGTGAAGAGGTCATGTAATGGTGGTGGGAGATGGAGGTGATCTCTTGTCCTCATGATTGTATGACTTGACCCACAAATATGTTGCATTCCCTACTTGTTCCCAATGCACACTGCTGGATTTCGCAAATGGACATTGGATACCTCCACACATTGTCTTCTCTAACTTCCTGAATGCTGAACAAATAAAGCAACAGCCTAAAGCTTTGCTCTCTCGTTGTACTTACAAATTTGTAAAAACTCAGTGAAGTGAAATTACACTAAGGAAAATAATGAAGCAAAACAAAAATGCATCAGCACCATTGACACCCATATTACCAGACAAAGTATAACAGTAACACCAAGGAGCATGAAAGCCCACTCAGCAGTTAAGAGCTTGTTTTTCTTACAGAGGGCCAGCTTTGGTTTCCAGTACCTACCTGGTGACTCCCAACCCTATGAAACTCTAGTTCCAGAGGATCTGATCCACTCCATTCTTCTGACTTTACACAAACACCAGATATGCTCTGATGCACATACATACATGCAGGAAAACACTCATATACATAAAATAAAGGAATCTAGAAGTATCACTAAATGATAAATTATTTTTTTGCTTAGCAAAAGTACTCAGTTCTGTATTAGAAGCAACCAAGGAAAATTATGTTTTTTTTTTTCTTAGCCTATCAACAAAAGAAATACATGTGTTCTCATGGTTAAAATGGAAAATGTAATACAGAAATATTAACTTAGCTTCCTTATAGATAGTTACTCTATATAAAAAGTTAATTATTCTCTACCAAGGATGAGACTTCTTATTGTTTATCCAATATATGTGGTCAGCCCATGAAACCATACACATACCAACAACAAAAATAGATTCAGCATGTTGTATTTATATATTTATGCACACACAAATATTTGTGTGTGTATGTGTAAAACAATAAAAAATCAAAAAAAAAAAGAAACTATTAATTTGAGAAGGCAGAATAGGAGGGGTTGGAGGAAAGTACCTGGAAGGAACTGCAAGAACAGAGGAAAGTGATATAATTTTAATTTACTTAAAATGTGTTTTATCTGAAGTGTTCATAAATGAATTCTGTGAATTTGCCTCCAGTTAGGTGTGTAATTTTGGCTTTCTAAAACTTTCAATTCTAGTGACTTCTTGTAGTTGATTGAACAGAATAAGCATATTTGAATAGATGTCAATGTGGGCTTAACAACCCCCCCCTTCATCTAGATGTTTTGATAATCAGTGCTTACCCATATCCTGTGACTCCCTCTGACTGAGTCACCAGTAGGGCCCCGACATTCATACCGAGAATATTTTCCAGGACTCCAGTCTGTTGAGCAGTGATAACTTGGCAAGCCAAATTCTGTAATCTGTTACTTGGTAAGGACTGAATGAATTCAGTGCTCCTTACATTTGGCAGATCACCGATTTCAATGACAATCACCTTTGAGAAAGTTTCCTCAGTGGTTGGTGGTGTGATTCTATATGGTGTCATCTCTGCCATGAGAAGTCTGCGTTGACCATATTTGCTAGAAGGGTCACCACAAGTTACAGTTGGGCAGTGGCGCTTTCGTTTTCCTTCATTGTTTGCAATAACCTCTAAGGTATCCTTGCTACCAGGCATCTCAAGAGTGAATCTGATTTGGTTGGAGTCAATCCGTAAGAAGTGTGTTAGGCGTTCAAGCATAACTCTTTTCCAACTTTTTTCCAGGACCGAAAATGTCACTGTGAAAGCCAAATGAACAGAAACACTTGAGTGTATTTCAACAGGCTCCTCTCCTTGCAGGACCACATATAAGAGGTTATTCATGATGTCGAAGTAGTTGGCACCAGCAGACGCATCCAACAAAGAAGAGGGTGAGTCTACTGGAGTGGGTGGGATGAAGCTTTTCTCTAAGAAAACTCGAGGGGTCTGAATCTCATTGTAGAACACAGCCAAGATGAGCTTGGAGCCTCTTCTGTCCCCCAGTAGAAAAAAGTGCGGTGATGGAGGAGTTTGCTCTGGAAAGCACACTTTGGTTATTTGCCTAGCAGGTAAGATGGAATAAAAAGTAGACACAGAGGTAGCGGGAGAGCATAGACTACTGTCCTTCACTATGCTAAATGTGTCGACAAAGCCATTAGTAATAGACACGAGTGGGTATGTCTTTGGTTTTGTCCAAGGTATATCAATATTATCGAGAATTAGAACCATGTGTTCAGTCTGCTTACAGAAGAAACCCTGGATCATTGCGCGGAATGTGCATTTCTGTTCTTCTCTGAATATACCTGTGAAACAAATGGAAACAAATGAGTAACACGTGAGCTACAACTAATGAAGACTTTTAACCCACAGTTATACTGTGAAATATTTATTGACCATTTGAGTTTATTAGGTAAGGGAAAACACAAATTTTGAGCAAAATATGAAATGATATATACATTAAATGATGCCCATTTGACATGTACTGATGATATGTGCACTGATATATGCTTTTTAAAATTAACAACAAAAATAATAGTGTAATAAGAGTTTTAACTGGAATATTTTTAATTTTTTTTGAGACAGGGCAGGGTTTCTCTGCAGAACACCTCTAGCTGTCCTGGAACTCCTTTTGTAGAGCAGATTGGCCTTGAATTTACAGAATCAGCTTGCCTCTGCTGGGATGAAAGGCATGTGCCACCATGCTACAAAGATGTGGCAGATGGGAAGCTTCAGCTTAATATGGGTCCCCTAGTAAGGGAAGTGGGGACTGCATTGAACATGGGCTCACTTGCCAGCTTTTCGATCACTTCCCCCTGGGGGACTGCCTTGACAGGCCACCGAAGAAGAGGACATGCTCAGTCCTGATGCAACTTGTTGAGCTGGAGTGGATGAGAAAGAAAGGTCTCTTTTTCTGAGGAAAAGGGGAGGCGGGAGGAGCAAGGATTGAGGATAGGACTGAAAGGGGAGGAGGGATGGGGCTACAACAGAGATGTAAAGTGAGTAAAGCAATACATAAAAATAAAGTCCAATAAAAAGTATAATAAAAGTTGAATATATAAAATAATTGAGACAAGAACAATCATGAAAGGCCCTTAAGGAAAAAGTAAACTACATTGTTCTCATTGTTCTACTCTTATACACTTATATGATACAGAATAACCAAAATGGCTTGGTGTTTCACCCTATTAACAACCAGTTCTCTATCAGATATATTTGAGTCCTTGACACTACCTGGTGGTAACATCAGAACCCACATTAAGGGATTGACATCACATGACTCCCTCAATTCATATGTCAAACATAAGCACCCTAGTTGTGAGCCAACCATGAGTCCCTGAAACCCTCTTCTTTGGTTAAATTTGCTAAAAATGCTCACAGAACTCAGAGTGAGACTTTATTTATCTACTTATTTATTATAGAGATCATTGTAAAAGATAAACATGAATAACCAGATGCAGAAAAGTTATAGCACAATGTTGGAAAGGCACAAAAATTCTACCCCCACTCCAGGTGGGACTCCTACCATATCACTCTACTTATCCATTCACTAAAAGGTTCTCCATGTTGTACTTCTTCAGAATGACAGCAAGTTTTAGGAAATCATCGGTCATTGGTTAATTGAGCCATCCAATCCTCCCCTCTCCCTGGCTCTAACAGAAAACAAATGGTCAGTAGAAATATGAGTAGATAGACCACTTATTCACTGCTAATGGGGTTGCAAAATTGTGAAGCCACTATGGAAAGCATTATGACTGCTTCTTTTCTTAAAATAAATCTTAAAAGAGAACTATCATTATGGCCTAGCTGTAGCATTCTAAATACACTGAGAACTTTAAGTCTCAGTGTGTTTAGCTACAATAGCTAAGTAAAGGAACCAGGCTAGATGTCTATCAACTCATGAATGGATAAGAAAACGTGTGTGCATCCACAGAGGAGTTTCATTCAGCTGTATAGAAAAAATTGAAATAATGGTATTTTTGAAAAAAAAAATTGATGGAGCTGGCAGAAATTACTACTGTAAATTATTCCCAACAAGGAGAGACAAATACCACATGTTTTCTGTCATATGAGCATCCTAGCTTTTCATTAAATATGTCTTTGTGTAAGGTGTGGGGAGTAACAAAACTATTAAGGGGAGCTTGGGAAAGGAAAGCTATATCTTAAAGGAGAGAGCCATTGGGGTAAAAAAAAAGGCATAGATTATTGCATGTGACATAAAAGGAGGAGGAAAACTATGAGAGATCAGGATGAGTGTGGGTGGGGTGAATGAGAGTAAACTTATCAAGAAAAACACATGGATTCCACATTGAACTCTTTTGCTTTGTATACTAATCTGAAAAAATAAAATAAAAGAAGGAAAGAGAGGAAGAAAGGGAGAAAGGAGTGGGGATGGAAAGGGAAAAGGAAGAAAGGGAAAAAAAGGTAGGAGAGGAGAGAGAAAGGGAGAAAGGAGGGGGAAAGGCAAGACCCTTCATTAGCATACATATCTAGGAACTCCTAGAGGATTCAGTGGCAGTTATTCATATCACTTAGGACATTACAAAGGTCTTTGGAGTGCTGTGAAGTTGCTTGTATGAGATGTCCCCAACTTCTTTCTGGAGGTACTTAGTGCTATGAACTTTCCTGATAGTACTGCTTTCATTGTGTCCCATAAGATTGGGTAAATTGTGCCTTCATTTTCATTGAATTTTAGGAAGTCTCTAATTTCTTTTTTTCATTTCTTCCATGACCAAGCTGTCATTGAGTAGAAAGTTGTTTAGTTTCCATGTGTATGTAGGTTTTTTGTTATTTCTGTTGTTGTTGAGGTCTAGTTTTAAGCCATGGTGGTCTGATAGGATACAAGGGATTATTTTCATCTTCTTGTATCTGTTGAGGCTTGCTTTGTGACTGACTATATGGTCAATTTTTGAAAGGGTTCTATGAGGTGCTGAAAAGAAGGTATACACTTTTGAGTTTGGGTGAAAAGTTCTGTAGTCATCTATTACATCCATTTGATGTAGGACCCTGTAAGAGTCATTATTTCCCAAGCTGGCTTCTAGATGATCTGTCCCTTGGTGAGAGTAGAGTGTTGAAGTCTCCTACTTTTAAGGTGTTGGGATCGATGTGTGATTTAAGCTTTAATAATGTTTCATTTCAAATGTAGGTGCTCTTGTATTTGGGGGATAGATGCTCAGATTAAAAACAAATTTGCAAGCAAATGGTCGGATCTAGAAAACATCATCCTGGGTGAGGTATCCCAGAAGCAGAAAAACAAACATGGTACATACTCACTTATAAGTGGATACTAGACAAATATTATAGGATAAACATACTAAATTCTGAACACCTAAAGAAACTAAGCAAGAAGGAAGACCCAGGGTAAGATGATCAATCCTCACTCAAAAAGACAAATGGGAAGGACATTGGAAGAGGGAGAAAACAGGAAACAGGACAGGGGCCTACCACAGAGGGCCTCTGAAAGACTCTACATATCAAAGCACATGCTGAGGCTCATGGCCAAACTCTGGGCAGAGTGCAGGGAATCTTATGAAAGAACAGGAGATAGAAAAATCTGAAGGGGACAGGAGCTCCACAAGGAGAGCAACAGAACCAAAATTGTGGGCCCAGTGGTCTTTTCTGAGACTGATTACTCCAACCAAGGACCATTCATGGAGATAACCTAGAAGCCCTGCACAGATGTAGCCCATGGCAGCTCAGTATCCAAGTGGGTACCCTAGTAAGGGAAACAGGGATTGTCTCTGATATGAACTCATGGGATGGCTCTTTGATCATCCCCCCTCTGAGGACACAGACAGACTTACCAGTCCATAGGGAAAGACAATGCAGCCAGTCCTAATGAGACCTGATAGTCCAGGGTCAGATTGAAAGGGAGGAGGACCTCCCCTATCAGTGGACTTAGAGAGGGACATGGGAGGAGATGAGGGAAGCAGGGTGGGATTGGGAGGAATTAGGGAGGGGCTACAGTTGGGATACAAAGTGAATAAACTGTAATTAATATAAAAAATAAAAATTAAAAACAAAAACAAAACAACAATGGTCTTTGTAGTTCTATATCAGGATCCCCAAATGCTATAACCAAAGATTTTCCTATTATATTATCTAAAGGCATTTTAGGGGATACGGCTGTCCTAAATGACAGAGCACTTCTCCAGCATGTGGGAAGCTCTGAGTTTGATTCCAGAGATTGAAAAAGAAAGGGTTTCAGAAACTTCACTGATACAGATATTGAAATGTATTTCTCCTCACAAATAAATAAGAAAAAAAGAATCAGTTTGCATGGAGACAAGTTGACAATGAATAGAGCCCAAGATGAGAATGGTAATTTTGATAGAATTATTCAGAAGAATATTATTGCTCATTATTCTTGAAATCCCAATCATTCTACCCAGAGCAGCCCTTACTCTGAATCCAGTGTGATATTTCACTACAAAGCACACAGTCCTTCTCATCTAAACTGAAAGACACAAACTGTTGCATTTTTTCTAGATATTTTGAATTCATTTGTACAAGCTTGTCAACATAACCTAGGAATGTAATAAATATGGCATTGGAGATAGACCTATCCTTTGCCTACTTCTTTCCATTTTTATTATTAAAAATCTGAGTCAAAGATTCTCATAGTGTCAATGAGTTTAGTGAACAAAGTGGTGCTTCATAGCTAGGGCAATAAAAACAAAGAAGGTGAAAATATAATAGGAAATATTATGAAGCACTTTATACTAAAACCATGAAGCCTTTAATATAACAAAGTTTGTATAATGTGGTTAAAGAATAGCATGGTTAAAGGTTGCCACAATAAAGTAATTATTCATTAAAGCACTCTATGACATGTTTCCAAATTACTAGAAGAACACAAAATTTCCCCACACATAAAAATGAATACTCTTTGAACACATGGAAATATCTATAATGTCTGGATTATTCCACATTGTAAACATAACTGAATTACTATAAGTACCCCACAGATGTACAAATGTGTTTAAATTACAATCTCTCACACACATACACACAGGTATATATAAATACAGTTACACACACATATACAGATACATACGTTTGTACCCCTATACACATATAAGCATGTATACACACATATGCATGTATACATCTACACAAGCAGTATGACTCCAGGTGTAGCCTTTGGCTAGAAGAAGGTCTTTGCATTTTCTGATTAGCCAAAATAACAATCAAATTGTTTTTAAGGCTTCCAAAACTTATGAAAAATATAGCATATCTGTAACTAGATAATCTTGGTAGTCAAATTTCCTTGTCAGTGTGGTAATGACTGGGATATTACTTTCCC